CGGCGGGGGGAGGGGGGGGGTGGTAACCAGGGAGACCGGGGAGGCGGAAGCGCCCCGCCCCGGCTGGGAAGGGGAGGGGCGGGGCGGGGCTTGCAGGGCCTCCCTCCGCCCCTGATAGGTTAAAAGGCATCCAGGGCGGAGGCAGGGGGGAGAGCCGGCTGGGAGGCGGTAGTTGTAGAAAGTGTGATGGTGAGGGAAGCTGGTTTCTCGCTCAGTCCAGCCGCCTGCTCAGCTAGATGGCTGGGGCTGGCCCTGCTTTTATACACGAGTATTGACGATGCAGGATATTTTGTAAGGGCAATTCCCCGCTCATGAAAAGAGCATGTCAAATGTTGGGCAGCAATCATCAAAGGATTGGCTCTTCAGGAAACAGTTTTGTGATTTCATTTCCTGGTGTTTCACTTCACTTACCCTGCCCCCTCCATGTTTCAATGCGATTTGTCAGGTTACGTTGGAGCCGGCAGAAGCCATCGTTTGGGGTCAATCGAACCCCAATCGCATTAAGCTGTTGGGAGGCCCCGAGTCATTTTGGTTGCAGTCTTCTGAAAAGAATCAGGTGTTTCAAGTGTTAAATGTGATGCCTGAGAGAGGAGGAATGAATGATTGGTGGGTACCTGCAAAATGTTTGGTTTAAGGTATGTTAACCTCTTTAATACTGCGGCTCACCTTAACCAGGCAGAGGGCGTTCAGGTTGCATCTGGAAGTTGCGCAGAGGAGCTGCCTCAGTACAGCGTTCATAGATTTCTAGGGTCGGAAGGGACTTCAGTAGGTTGTCGAGTCCAACCACCTGCTCCAGGCCGGAAAGAGCACGGGCTACGTAACCCCAGCCAGGTGCTTGTCTAATCTCCTTTGTGTTTAATGTCAGTGTAGAGCAGCACAACCAGGGGGAGCTCCACACATGTGACCTCCTGCAAGGGAAGTGATATCATGGCCATGATCAATGGGCTAATTGGCTCTTTGTAGCCGTTCTGTGGAGCAACAAAGTCTTGGCACGATTCTGTCTGGTGCTGTGGACCATCAGTTGAAAGCCACTGATTTATATCGCTTATTCCCCATCATAGAGGAAGACTGACAATGCCGAGGACCATTTTGAGGGTTTCTATATAGCAGCCTTAGCCACAACTTTACCTTTACTCTTTGTACTGGCTTCAGCATCATTTCATATGTGCCTTCCAACTTCTACAGCAAATGAGGCAGCAGTCTTGCAGGTGACAGCTTCATTAACTCATGTGCCTTTTTTGTTTCCCAAGTGCTGTCTGTTCTATGTATCAACTGAGCCAAATTTCCTGAGGAGTCAGTTGTGTTATCAACTTTATTTCCGGCATTTCCTATCTTTTAAGTCCTTCACTATGAAATCTGAATGCCATTCATTTAATGTGGGAATTTTGCACTCAATATATAATTTTTGTTTTTCCTGTTGTAGCTGTAACAGTGTTATAGTGCAAAAACAACAAGCCAAATTCTTCAGTGATGCTATTTGATCAATGTTAATGGAGTTACAGTGGAAATTATTTTTTTTCCTTATCTGTTTATCAGTGCTCAGCAACACCTCACAACCGTTTGGGACAGAAAGTGAAAAATAACTTCTGCACTTGAAACTAGAGGCAGCATTTTATGTTGGCCAAAAGCAATTAAATTAAGGAAACTGGTTCATGATTTGCTTTAGGATATACACTGGCACATAGCATGCCACCCAAACATGGACTAAGTGTATTCCCAACCACCAGTTCCCTATAACTGCTGGGTAAAGACCAACTTGATCAACGCTTAAGTTTTTATTGCTTGTTAATTCACCAGCAAATTTCTATGCATCTACTATGGAAGATAAAAGTACAAATTCTGTTCTGTGTGGATCTATTTTGGGTGATAAAAGTCATGCAGAAATATATATATGCAAACTATATACAGCTGTCTGACTCTTGGCAAATAAGCCTGGACATCCTGACATCCAAAGAGAACAGACGCTTGTCTGGAACAACAAGCTATTTGCATGCGAATTACTTTCAGCTGGAAGTGTTGAGATTTTCCAGTTGGCCTAGGAAAAAATCACTCTAGAGCCAATGCTGGTCAAGATCATATGGCATGACAACACAAGAGATGTAGATAACTTTTCTTGCTTTAATTTTTTGTAGAAGTTCTTCTATATTTTTTTAAAGTCTGCAGTGTAGGAACCTTTTGTCTTTTTTCTTTTTTTTTGAGCTGTGCCAAAAATATTTGGGAAAGTGCCAGCTGGCGGGGTGGCATGAAGGGCAACAGACAAGATGGTGGCCTCACTCCTTCCATCCACCAAGGCCTTTCTGCCAGTCAGTACTGAGGGGTGGGACTGCATAAAGGGCAGTCCATTTCACTTTGCTGGGCATGGTACCCTGCATCAGCAGAGAGGTGGTTAACTGTGTTAGTCCAAAGTCAGGCAGAAGGTAGGGTGGCTGGTACCTCACAGCAGTGATTCTCAACCAGGGTGTTACAGAACCCTGGGGTGCCTGGAGATCCTTTTAAGGGTGCTGGTGCCACACAGCTAGCACTTAGGTGTGCAAACATGAGTCAGAAATTAAACTCAAAGAAATCCACGGTCAAAACATTCTGACCTGTCGTCTTTCTGAATTCTTTGCAACAGATGAATTGTTCTATACTTTTTTGACTACAGAAAAAAAAAAGTGAAAGTTGGGAGACTAGAGAGTTATCTTGAGGCTAAAGAAGTTGAGAACCACTGCCTTAGGGAGTAGATAGCCCAGACACACACATGAGTTTTTTGTAGGCAACAACCTACTTTATCCGATGCTGTCAGTAGAATGATAATCCTCTTCTGGGCTTGATGCTTGTTTCTTTTGGAGACCCTCGGGATTAATTAAGTGGTTTAGCATCCTGACTAGCCCCTAAGGATGAGACGTGGCACCTTGAGTAGCATATGAAAAGAGGTGCAGGTGAACTTGCTGGAAAGTTAAAAGCAACCCTGCCAACACCAGTCTTATTGGATCCTATCACTCTGCTTTCGCACAAGATACTACAGTTAAAAGTGCCCGGAACAGTAGGATAGGTTCCTACAAGATGATGTACTACTTTACTGTGCCACTATGGGTGAACAGGAAATATATAATAATCATTGATGTGCCATTTACACGAGCCACTGTAACTGTTTTCATTGCACAATATAATTATCTTCCTCCACCATCCTAGCTAATAAAAGGAAGCCACTAAAAGGTATCACCTTGAAAAGCTATTTTTCTTATTAAAAGGATTTTTTTGACAAAGCAAGTCAGACATAGGTAAACACAGCATGGGTCAAATAGCTTTTAATGATTAGTTCTAATTACAGGAACTAACCTCTTCTGACCATGTGAGATGTTTTATTACATTACTGACTCACCATCTTTGCTGTACCATTAACTCTCCACATTTGCAGGTTGTTCAGTCTTTGAGCCTGAGCTACCTTAATTGATGCACATCAAGGCAAAATCAAACACAAGTCCTTCTAACACCCTTCAGTTTATGTCTCTGAAAGCAAACCTGTTACTCAGATAACCTGAAAATCTAAGGAGGTTTTTAAACTATGGAAAGGAACAATGCAGTGAAGCAGGAAAACCCCAGCATGAATTAATGTCTTTAGTCTTAAACCAGCAACAGCTACAGAACAGATCTTCTCTTCCAAGATGATACCACTTCTCCATTACTATGTGGCTTATTGTTTCTGGGGTAGTTAAGCACTGGCAGCCAAGAAATGGGGCAAATTCATCTGTGCTGAGTGTTGCTCTGTTGAAGCTGGATTAATGCTGGTACCTGAGCTCGGAGAGTGTTCACGCACCGAGGATACGTGGCAGTCGCTTCTGGACTCCAACGTGCATGTATCTGGAGGTATAGAGGGTGCTGGGCTGCGGGTTTCTTCCCTTTCCTGATGCCCTAGGAGCATAGGAAAGTAGGGCCAGAAGGGACCTCATAAAGTCATTTTAAGCCCTCTGGTCAAGGCAGGTTTATCCTTGACTAAACCATCCCAGCCAAGTGTCTGTCTGTCTAACCTGCTCTTGAAATCTTCCAAGGATGGCGATGCCACAATTTCTCTGGGTAGCCTGTTACATGCTTGACCACCCTCAGAGTCGGGAAGTTCCTCCTAATCTCCAACCTCAATTTCCCCCGCTGCATCTTGAGGCCATTGCTCCTAATCCTGCCCTCTGCAGCCACGGCGAACTGCCCCTCTCCGCTCTCTGTAACCGCCCTGCAAGTATTCGGAGGGGTCAGACCTTCTGCCGAGACATTTAACCGTGTTTTAGAAAATATGCATCCAACCCTTTACGAACTGCTTCTGGGCGCGCGGATGAGACGAGCTGAGATTTGGCCTTAACAGATCTGGTGGCTCCAGGCCTGGTTAATCCCCTGCTGGGGGGGGCCGCACGAACCTTGTGGCCCTGCTTTGCAGGGGTCACAGGCCTGCAAGTGAGTCCCTGGCTTGTCCTTCTCCAGCCCCTGGAGCCTCAGGAGCGGCTCCCCTGGTTGGAGACGCACAGGGAAGGCAGAGCCCAGCCCCACACCGCAAAATGGCTGCTAATCCCACTAGGCCTCCGCAGCTGGGAGTTTTCATCTGCCCCAAACCAGGATGGCTGCTAATCCCACTGGATTGCACTGGGAGTTTCTTCTGCCCCATGGCAAGATGGCTGCTAATCTGCCTAGGGTTTCACTGGAAGATTTCTCTGCCCCAAACAAAGATGGCTGCTAATCCCACTGGACTGCACTGTGAGTTTCTTATGCCCCAACCCAAGATGGCTGCTAATCGCGCTACACTCCACTGGAAGAGTTCTTCCGCCCCAAACCAAGATGGCTACTAATCTCGCTAGCCTTCTTCCGCCCCAACCATAATGTCTGCTCATCCCGTTACACTCCCCTGAGAGCCTTTTTCCGCCCCAAGCCAAGACGGCGGCCAACCCCTCCAGGATGCGCTCCCCTTTCCCTCACTCAAAATGGCCGCCGGCGCCACGGATGCGCTCTCCATGCCCTACGCCAAGATGGCCGCCCAGGCGCGCGCCAGGCGGCACGGAGGCTCTCCCGGCCCTTCCTCCCGGAAGGCCGCGGCGCGGGGGCGCGTCCCGCTGCGCTTGCGCGGCAGCGGTGCATGCTGGGCGCGCCCCTTCCCGCCGTGACACTGCACATCGCGGCCCCGCGGCGGCGCCGGGAGGATGGTCGGCGTGAAGGTGATCGCGAACGACACCGAGTTCCAGCCCGAGCTCAGCGCCGCCGGCTCCCGCCTCGCCGTGGTCAAGTTCACCATGCGCGGGTGAGCGCGGGGTCTGCCCGGGCCGGCACCGGCACCGGCGCGGGAGGGGAGGGCCCAGCTGCTGGCTTGGGGGGCGGGTTACATATAACTTCCCCCTTTCTTCTAGTGATGTCGATATAAAGATAAATACAACTTAGCTCTTTTACTTATTGGTATAAATATATACAAATCAATACAACTTTCACTTGTAGGTATGAATATAGGTAAAAGAAAGCGCTAAGTGTTTCGCATTCCCGCAGCAATTTAACAACCATGCCAAAAGTCAGCGCTGCATTGGCGTCACTGCGATGGGGCGTCCGGGCTCTTGGTTTTTTCCGGGCCCGTCTGCATTCGCAGCGCTGAGCTCGCCGGGGCTGCTGAGGTCAAGTACCTTTTTGTTGGGAGTTACTTTTCCAGCAGGAGTGCTTGCGTCTCGCTCCAGCTTTCCTGTACAATATGAAACTGTATTTCTACCTGGGAGAAACTTTACGATCATTGCCTTCTCCCGTGCCTGAAGAAGGGCACGGGCATGCCCAAAAACTTGCAGATACATTTTATTTTTTTTTTGCAACTGAGTTGGCATAATAAAGGATATCTTCTCTACCACGCTGACTTCTTGTTGGGAGCTCGTTTTGCTAGGCATTGTCCAACAGTGGACACACACCTCTTGCTGGGTTATTTGACCCCAGCTGTCTTCCCTGCCCAGAGCAGGGGGCTGGAGGCGCTGATCTTGGGATGTCCCTTCCAGCCCTAAACTAATGTGAATCTGTAACCCTGTTAATGACAGCCTGCTAGGAGCCTTTTTATTTTGCTAGGCACTGTCTAAACAAGGATCGAAGACAGCTCGTAGCTTTCTCCATTTTAGTTATGATACTCGTGCCTTGTTGAAACTCCGCAGAGGCCTCCTTTTCTTTCTCTTGCCTAAAGCAGGTAAACAGGTTATATAAAACACCAGAAGGTTTTAAGTTGTAATCGACCTTATAATGAACAGCATTTCATTAATTTCTACAGAAGCAAATTAATTTGCCTGTGTCTAAATTTTACTGAGATTAATCCATTCAACACCGTGCCTGAAATAGATACATTTCATATTTTTATTGACAGTATTTTTATTTGCAGCAGTATTGTTGTTTCCCCCTCCCCGTGGCAAAACATTTAGTAATGTGGTAGATACTCATTAACTTTCAAGTCCTTCAGCAGCATGTATCAAGAGCTAATTACAACCGACCCTTAAAGCAGGGGTGTCAAACTTGTGGGCCAAATCCAGATCTCCAGGCTTCCCACGACCAATATGACCCACCCATGTGTGGCAGTGATGTTGAGCCCCAAAACTGCAGGACCCAGTTTTGTTGGTCAGTAAGCAGGGGGGGAGGAGAAAACTGGCATTAACTCCATAAATTCTGGAGTTGCCTTGAAATAGCTTTGGTAGTTGTGGAAATTAGGACTAATTACAAGGGCTCTGGCGCTGTCCTATGTGCCGTATGTTTGACACCCCTGCCTTAAAGTGTTGTCTACTCTTAAAGCACATGAACACTATGTAAGAGGTTATATCCAACAACAATTACCCAGTTGTGGATTACAAAAATGACCAAAAGGTATGCCATGCTGCAGCAATTATGGTTCTGTGGATCAGTGACCAAGAGAAAAAGAGGAAGATGGGTTGCATACTATCTGTTGTGTAAAACATGGCTGTTAAACTGTGGCCCCTGAGCACCCTGTCCAGGTGCCACTCCTCATTGTTCTCCTAGGGCTGCTGCCAATCTCCAGGTGCCTCCCCCCCTTGCTTCTTGTCTCCACCCATAGGGGTGGGCAGTCTGTGGGGCTGCAGGAGCCTGCAGCTATGGGTTTGTGGGGGGCTCTGTATGGTGCAGGAGTGCCAGTGCAGCACAATGAGGGTCACCCACTGCTACATGTGGGGTTTGCAGCCATCAGCCTCCAGCCACTCAGAAGCTGGACAGCTCTGGTGTAGAGAATACCATCATAGAAGAAAAAGTCTTTACTGTAGACCACAGGATTTCAGAAATAGTGATACTTTTGTAAAGAGATATTTAAATAATAATCCATAAAGTTAAAGTCCAGTGTATGAATTGGATATATATCTGGCTAGGGTATTATGATTCCAGCACTCGTTCCTGCCCAGGGCAGGGGGTCGGACTTGATGATCTGTTCAGGTTCCTTCCTACCCTAGAAACTGTGAAACTATTAATTGAAATCCTAGATTGGTACCAATGGTCCAGGCCCTATCTTTCTGCTGTGATTATAAGTCAGTGCTGTTTGAGAGTGGCAATCTCCCATTTGTTCCAAGGGTGGAACTTCCTTGTACTTCCTGGCTAATTAAACATGCTAGTGTAAACATGACTAAACATAAATGATAAAAGCATTTATCACTGTGAAATAACAACATAACTAGGAAGTGCCAACTCAGCTTGCATACTTGTCTTTCGCTGTTTCATTCTCAGTCATGCATCCACTTGCTGAACGTTTGCCAACAGGGGAGAGGTATTCTGTAACCTATAGAGGATGTCTGAGAGCCAGTCAAAGCATACACAACTTTCATTGACTTCAGTTTGTCTTTTGGGGCAAAATATGGTCCCGACTTCAGAAGCTACCTCCAGTCATAAACTTTTTTTTTTGTTTTGAAACAGATGTGGCCCGTGTTTAAGGATAGCTCCTGCTTTCAATGCTCTGAGTAACAAATATCCCCAGGCAACGTTTTTGGAGGTAGATGTACACCAATGCCAGGTGAGAAATGTACAAATATATATTTTAAGAATTGTGAGATAAAGCATTAGGACATGTAATCTCTGCTAATCATTTAACAAAGGCAAGTCAGCTTGTTCAGATTGTATTCACTTCTACATTGTCTTAGAATACATATGAAAATGTAATGAGTGAAGGATATTAGAAGACTTAGGAAACTGAGCTTCTAACAAAAGACAGGATAACTTGTTTCATTTATTTAAAAAAGAAAATGGCCTTAGTCTTGACCATCCTGAAACTCCTAAAACCAAACTGAACAATATATTAAGTGTGTGGGAGGGAGGAGGGGGTCCAGGCAGAAATACTAAATGTTGAGAGTTCAAAAGAACCCAAGAGAACAGTAGTACAGGATTATGAACACTGACAATTGTCCATAAATTAGAGGATAAATGGAAACAAAAAGCAAAAGAGTAGCCAAAGTGAGTTCTGTAAATGGATTTATATTTTGGTAAACATAAATATTTACCAAAATAAATGTTTGGCAAAACACTTGTTAATGACTTTGACCTATTTTCAATATACTTGGATAGTAACAGGGTCAAAAATTGAGATCTGACTGAAGAACCCAAACCCAAAAGTTAAACATTAATAACAGGAAGCTGAAAATCAAGAGAGGTATTGATTTTCTACAGGTCTTACTTTCATTGGAAAAGGGAATGACTAAAGAATATTAACAGACTTTGCATGTGGTGCTGAATTATGACATGTTATAAGAACTAATAAGGATAGATAACTAGAAAAATATGTAGCTGTATTAGGAATGCAGACAAAATACAGAATGAAAATATGTTTGTAAAGGAATAAGATGATCACCGCTCTAGGAAAAAGAATGTACATATACAAAGACCACAGATACTTTTATTGGGTGGGTGAGGTGGCTGGAAGTGTGCTGATTCATGAAAGCATGTTTTATCTGGACTGGAATAAATAAGTGTAACCAGTAACCAGGAATAATTGGATAGCATGTGGAGTAGGAACCTGAGATTGAAAGGGATGTCAAACCTGCTGTTGCAGTTGCACATCATGAGCTCTGCTCATAAATATGTCAAGTTCCATCTTTAAACAAACTTGGCTATGGGCAGACATATCATGTAACTGCTTTAAGAGTGTGTAGGGTTAAACTAGGAAGAGTTGTGGTGAAGGTGTATGCTCTGGCCACAGTCCTTTATACAGCCCAGCCCAACCCTTTTGGATAGACTATGGAGCATCCCTTTGTACTGCTTGGCCAGGTGGGGTTAGTCTGTGCTGGAGCAGCCTTTTACATTGCCTGGCTGGAGCAGCTGAGGACAACCAGGGCATGTAACACCCCATCTTCCCTTCTTGCCCCCCAACCAACACGGGGGATTTTTGCCCAGGGCAGAAAATTCATTAGTTATCCCTCTGCTCCTGCCTGCTTTAGGCTTATCAGAAAACCCTGATACAGGCAGGCAGGAGCGTGCAGCAGGGCCCAGCTTGAGAATCACTGAGTGAAAAGTACAGCAGTGGTTCTCAACCAGGGATGCTGCCAAATTAAAAATAGTTGTTGTGACTCTAAAAAAGTTGAGAACCACTCATATTTTTTTTTGCTAGTCTGTAAATAGTACTCATTAATTTTGAAAGGATTGCCAAGATACCTTGTTAAGATGCACCAACAAAATTTGTACTAAACAAGTATGTCACTAAAATCCAGTTAACCATTCTAAATTTTTTTATGCGTTTCAAGTAAAAAAAGTAAGGCCTAAATTTAATGTTTCTTAAGATAAGTAAGTCTTACCAGTTGCATGCAGGAATGTATTGTACCCAGCAAAATACAATTTTAAAACTCATAATCACAATCTGAAATACAGTTTTGAAAAAGGAAGTTTTAGTGGTATAGTATTAAATACAGCAAAGCAATTTCTTTTTTCTTCTTCATCAGGTAACTTTAGAATCTAAAGATAACAGCATCATCAAAATCCGAAAAAAATCTGTGTTAAAAATAACTTGGTTGGAGAGGGAGATCAGTGAGGAACCTTTGGGTTTAACACTAATTACATTTTGCTCTTTAAGCCTAATGGATGTGACTGCATTAGGAAAACAAACTTTCTAATGAAGTGAGTGCATGTCTCAGCACCAGTGTTACCACTACATGCCCTAACCAACCAATGAGATTGC